TTTCTTGTTGTGGCATTCAATAAAGTACTGTAATTAAAATCATACAGTTCCAAAGTAATAAATCTACTAATCTTCCTTTCTGTGTAGTTAAAGTTCATAGGACATTCAAGTCAATCTGTTATGACCACACATTAAATTCTTAATATAATCCATGTCACCATGTCTTACAGTTTCTAAAAATATGCAAATTTAATCACACATTAGTAATTACAAGATAATTATATACCAGCCCTTCTCCCTCACACTCATCTGCAGCAGAGCCCCAAGAATTGGTTTTCTTTAAGGGTATGGTTGAAATCAAGGTTTCTTCTTGCACTTAATATGACTCTTTCAAGAATCTCTTCTATTGAATTTTCCTTATTCCAGCTCAAATATAGCTAAAAATTCATTATGCTTTATAAAGGGACATGAGTTTCAAAACCATAAGTTTTTAAAAATAAGGCCAATATTGCCTTGATGTTAAAATTATCTTATAGATTATAATACAAGTTGAAACCACAATGATTACTTTACCTCAGTAAGAATGGCTATTGTCAGAAAAAATAAATAAATAAAAGCTGGCAAGGATTTAGGGGAAAAAAGGAACTCATATATATTCAGGGGAAATGTAAAATAGCATAGCAACTATGGAAAACACTATGGAAACTTAAAAATAGAACTGCCTTATGATTCAGCAGTCTTGCTACTGTATATTTATCCAAAGGAAATGTAATTCTCCTACTGAAGCACTGTTCACAATAGCCAAGTAATGTAAACCACCAAAACGTTCATCCATTGTGAATGAATAATTAAAAGGGTTTATGTGTGCACAATGGAATAGTATTTAACCAATAAAAATAATGAAATCCTGTCATTTATGACAACATGGATGGAACTGGAGATAATTATGTTAAGTGAAATAAGTCAGGCACAGAAAGACAAGTACCATATGATTATACTCATATGTGGAATATAAAAAAGTTGATCTCATAGAAGTTGAGATTAGAATGGTGTTAATCAAAAGTTGGGGAAAGTAGGGAAGAATGAGTTGGGGGAATTGATCAAAGAGTTTTAAGTTATAATTGGATAGAATTCATAAGTTCTGGTATGCTTTTGTACAATAGAGTGGTGCTAACTAACAATGAGGTATTGTATATTTTAAAAAGTTAGAGAAATGAATTTAAAAAATTTTAAGCCATAAATAAATGATAAGTGTAAAAGATATAGACACGAAGAGAAGGTACTTTTCCCTTCATCTGTTGATAGGCACATAAGCTGATTTCAAACCTTAGCTACTATGTATAGTGTTACAATTAAAATGGGGCATACAGGTATCTATGGTATGTTTATTTCATTTCTTATGAATATGTACCTAGAAGTGGGATAGCTGGATCAGATAATAGACCTATATTTTAGTTTTTTAAAGAACTTCCATACTTCCATAATGGCTGTACCAATTAGCATTCCTATCATCAGTGAATAAGAGTTCTTTCTATAAGAGTTCTTTTAGTACCTATGTTCTTTTTTTTTTTTCTTGTGGTGCTGGCGATTGAACCCAGGGCCTTGTACATGCAAGGCAACCACTCTACCAACTGAGCAATATCCCCAGCCCAGTCTTCACATTCTTGACAGCATTTTTTGTTGGGTTTGGGGGTGGATATGTGTGTGTGTGTGTGTGTGTGTGTGTATACACACACACACACACACACATCCATTTGGGGATGGATATATATATATATATATATATATATATATATATATATGAATCATACATATATATACATATCTCATATGTATGAGATATGTGATATTTTATATATATATATATATATATATATATATATATAGTCATATATCATTTATATATAAGCCATTCTAACTGGGTGAGATGGTGTCTGATAATAGTTTTGCATTTCCTCAATGGCTAATGACATTGAGCATTTTTTTCATATATTTGTTGATCATTTTTATTTCTTCTTTTGGGGAATGTCTATTCAGATCATTGCCTTCTTCATAGAAACTTTAAGTTTTCTATATGTAGAATCTGCAAACAGGGACAATTTGACTTTCTCACTTTATATTTTTTATGCTTTTTATTTATTTTTCTTGCATAATTCCTCTGGTTAAAACTTCTGGTACTATATCAAGTAAAAGTAAAAGTTGTGAAAATGGATACTCTTGTCTTGTTCTTCATCTTAGAGGAAATTATTTCAATTTTTCCCCATTTGGTATGATATTGCCTGTGAGTTAATCAGATATAGTCAGTATTTTGTTGAGCTATGATCTTTCTACATCTAATTTGTTCATGGCTTTTGTCACAAAGGGATGGTGAATTATATTCAATGCCTTTTCCTCATCGATTGAGATGGTCATATGACTATTTTTCATGCTTTGATGTAATGTATCACATTTATTGATTTGCATGTATCAAACTATCCTTGCATTTTTAGGATGAAACCAACTGGATCCTGGTGAATTTTTATTTATTTATTTATTTATTTATTTATTCATTTTTAGTTGTAGATGAACACAATACCTTTTATTTATTTGTTTGTTTGTTTGTTCATTTGTTTATATGTGGTACTGAGGATCAAACCCAGTGCCTCACATATGCCAGACGAATGCACTATCACTGAGCCACAACCCCAGCCCCTGAATTATCCTTTTGATGTGCTGTTGAATTTAATTTACAAGTATTTTATTCAGAATTTTTGCACCTAGTTTCATCAGGGATATTGATCTATAATTTTTTATTCTTGTTGTTATATCCTTCTCCGTTTTTTTTTTTTTTTTTTTTTTTTTTGCATATGAAGCAGGGTTTATTTAAAAAGGGGTAAAAGACTTCTCCCACAAGGGAGAAGGAGGCCATAGATGGTATCGTGGTATCCAAAGAAGTGAGGTGTTCTGCCCTTTTTATATGTCCTGGGGTTCATTCCTTTGTTCTCCTGCCTCCCCCACCCCATTATCTTTCTCCTTCCTGCGTACGTGACTAGGCCCAGGAATCCCTAACTTCAATTTTTATCTATATTCTCTTGGTTCCCATTGATTTTTATAATCATTCTTTTAAAACATTTATCCATCATTTTATCTATATCTTTGAAATCTGTTGCTAGAGTTAATGTGTACCTTTTGAGGACTGTTACCTTGTTTTTTCCATATCTATTGTGCTCCTACATTGATATTTATGTATTTGATGGATCACTTAGTTATACCACTTTTATGAGGTGACTATCTTAATAAGTGGTTTCCTTATGGTATATCTTGGTGAGTTGTTTTATAGTGAGATGTATGCTTTGTTCCTAGGTGGGCACCACAGTATAGTCTCCCTACAGTTTCTTTGGCTGTGATCAATGACTTTGGGCACAGTACATACCATGGTTGAGTCACAAAGTCACACCTACCTGAGGGCCCTTCCAGAGTGGGAAGTTCAGGCAGATGTGGTGCTAACAGCAGTGGGTGTGTGGAACTCACTGTTTGGCAACTCCTATAATGGGAATGGTAGCAGCTATTGTGCAATGAATGTTTCATCAGACATTAGTGCTGATTTCTGGCACCAGATCCAGTTGTGGTGAGGAGCCCAAAACACTTGTCCTCTGACCAGTCTGGTGCAAGCCCAAACAAATACTGCATGAGGAGAGGTGGAGGTGGTGCGAATTGCACTGTCCTCTTACTATGTAATTCTTTATAGTACAGGATAGCTTTCAAATATTTATATTTTAGCTAAATTGAAGAATTCTTATCTAAAAAATTCTGAAGAGGAACTCCTATTTAATGGTTCCCAAGCATATGTAGGAGTTCCAGTAGGAAGCAAAATCTTTACCCATATGTGTGCCCACATTCTCAAGTGCTGAGTTTCTGCACCTTGGGTGACCTTTCCCTGTCTGTGCTATTGTAAACATCAATTTCAGCTCTGCTGCTACATCTAAACCTGCTGCTACTTGATCAAGTATTTATTTCTCAATTTTATACTTCAAGATATCTCTGAGGTTTCTCTCATATGCTAACACTGTAGTTTTTTGTTTGAATTTATTTCAGTTTTATTTGCATATCGACTCCTAAAGTGTTTTTACCTAAATACATATTTATCTAATATTTATGAAGTCTTGAAAATTTTTATTTCTCTAGAATGATTCTCTCAATGGCACCAATATTTTGCATGATTTTGTAGATGCTTTTTACCCTAGATTAGAAGCTGGCACTTCTGGAAGAAACTACCAATTCATGCTCCATCCTACTCTATGATAGGATCATACTAAACTGCTTTTTTTTTTCTCATGTCCTAACATTGTATCTAGTTAGATATTTACTAATTGGCATGTTTGTGTTTTCTTTACTGTCTCCTTGTTCCCTATACTAGATTTTGAGGAGTGAAGAGCTTAAATCATTTTTTATGATATTTATACAAATATTGCTTTAATTTATTCCTTTTTGGAAGTCTCAATTTTATCCTTTTTTTGTTAACTATTCTTTTTTCTTCAGAAAAGTAAGTTAGTATAATTAAAAGTATATTCTATCTGCTTCCTCCTATCCCTCCGCCTCAGTATATTCTACCTACCTGAAAATCATCTCCTAGAACCATAATACCACTTTTAACTACTACTACTTCCTTACCTCCTCCTTTCCAGCATAGTTATGAACTTTTATTTTATATAGGCTTTGACTCAGGTCATGGCTCTTTCCTATTACAAGTTATGTGACTATGGTAAAATTACTTCTATGTCTCATAAGTAATTGCATCATTATCATTTTACTTAATTTACAAGATTATGTTGATGACCAGATAAAATGACCTATAGCAAGCATATAGAAAAGACTAATATCACTCCACTTTCTTAAAAATAATTACCTAGATCATCTAGAAGTGAACATTAAAATGCTGTATTTCTAACTGTTGGTCAGAAGTCTTTCAGTAGTTAATCTTCAAGGTGTAGCTGGATTTTAATGTGACTATTAATAAGACTAGCTAATTACTTGTTGTATTCTAGATGGATTTTTATTTTCTTCTTTTTCTGCACAATTAGGAACCCCAATCCAGAATGTCACAAGCAGTGAATTCATCACTAAAAAAGGAACAGTGTCAAACCTTCCACTTTCAAATGTTACTTCAACAACACAAAGTTCCCAACATAAAAGTAAGTATAAAGATTTGTGCTAATATTAAAACTGCTGTATTAGATTAGACTATCCTCAGAATGTCTTCTATCCCACAGTTGCAGAGGAACCATGCCCCAAATATATTCTCTTCTAGTCTCTATCAAATAATGTGATCATTTGGCAACCTTGATCTTTAACAGTGACACTCTATCCTGCTCTAGCCACAAACGGGTAGGCACTAGGGAAGATGAATATAAGTTTGGGTAGTAACTCATGATATCACCTAATACAAAAAGAAGAGCTCAGCCCCCAAATTGGATAACTTGGATAAAATAAGAACATTCTTAGAAAGAAACGAATTGCTACAATTGACTCAAGGAGACACAGAAGTATGAAAAGACTTGAAACAACAACCAAAAAAATTAAAATAGTAAATTTTCATGGGAAAAATATTCCCACGAACAAATCCCTAAGTCAACTACAATTCCAGGAAGAATTGATTTGTGAATTCAAAAACTGACAACAATTCTTTCTAAACTCTTCAGAAAATAGAGAAGGAGGGAACACTGCACATGTAATTCTCTGAGGCTAGTATTACCCTCTATGAAAGCTAGAAAAGAATGAAAAGGAAAGTAGAGTACAAACCAATACTCTTCATGAACACAAATATAGTTATCCTCAATAAAGTGACAGTAAAACCACCCAGAAATATGTAAAAAAGAATGTGAAACATGAAAATCAGGGACTTATCCCATAAATACAAGATTGATTATACATGTGAAAACCAAATCATCTAATACACCATATTAGCAGAACTAATACATGCAAAAAGAGCACTTGACGAAATCTACCGACACTCATAATAAAACAATTCTTAGTGAATGAGAAATAAAATGTAACTTTCTAAACAAAGAGTGTGCTAGTCAGCTTTTCATTGCCATAACCAAAATACCCAATAAGAACTACTTAGAGGAGGAAAAGTTTATTTGGGCCCACAGTTTCAGAGATTCAGTCCATGGTCAGCTAACCCCCATTTCTCTGTACCTAAGATGATTTAGAGCATCATGGAGGAAGGATGTGGCAAAGGAATGCTGCTTCACTCATGGCAGCCAGGAAAGCGAGTTGGTGGGCAGTGAGTGAGTGAGCCAGGTGCAAAAATGTAAACCCCACAGGGATTCCTACAGTGACCTACTTCCTCTAGTCAAAGCCCACTGGCTTGTAGTTACCAACCAGTACAGTAGTCTTCTTAAATTATTAATCCACTGATTAGTTTACAACTCTCATAATCTAATCGTTTCACCTCTGAATATTTCTGTATTGTCTCATACATGAGCTTTTTGGAGATGCCTCATCTCCAAAAGGCACCTACCAAAGCCCACAGCAAACATGATCCCAGAGTAAAAGACTTAATGTTTTCTTCTTAAGATGTGGTACAGAGCACAGATGTTTGTTTTTATCATGTCTATTCAACATTATAACCAGAGGTTCTAGATATACATAGATGGATAAAGGATGACTAAATAGAGTTGATAGCTCCACAGTGAAATAAGAAATAAGACAATTTTATTCACAGACTGTAAAATTATCTATCTTAAACATTCAAAGAATTCTCATTAAAAAAACTGTTAGAAAAATAAAGACTATCACAGGATTCAAAATATTTTACAATTATATTCTTGTATGTTAGCAATGGCAATCCGAATAAAATTAAAGAGTAATTCCATGTACAATAACATAAAAAATTACAAAATATTCAGGAATAAATTTAATAAACAAATCTTGCATTGCTATTGTTAAAGTACACAACATTTTGGTGAGCAATCAAATACCTAAATAAATTTTATATATATATATATATATATATATATATATATATATATATATATGTAAATTTTTTTTCATTTGCTTTGGATATATATCTAGAAGTGGGATTGCTGGATCATATGATAATTCTAGTTTTAAGTTTTTGATGAATTTTTACATGATTTTCCACAATGAATATGTTAATGATTTGCCTTTTCTTAATGATTAGTGAGATGAAACATTCTTTTCCTATATCTTTGGTTCATTTGTCTTTTTTGTGAAAAAATGTCTGATTATGTCTGTTGCTATTTTAAACCAAATTATTGGTGAAAGGACATTTATATAAGAACAAAAACTAGTGATTTAGTGATTGTCTGCAGCTGAGGGTGGGACATAATATAGAAAAGCAAAAAGTTTCAAGGGAGTTATTCATTTTGATGGAAATATTCAGAAACTGGAGTATGGTGATGTTATACAACCCTATAAATTCACTAAAAATTATCAGTTGTATACTTACAATGAGTTAATTTAGATAGTATTTAGTATTTAAATAGTACCTTGATAAAGATTTGTTTCAAAACAAAAAGAAAAAGTATTGAGCATTACCAGATTTTCTTTCTGAATAATCTGAACTAGAAACCTCAAACAAAACAAGTTAGCCATCCCAGCAGCTCAGTAGGCTGAGGCAGGGATCACAAGTTCAAAGCTAGCCTTGGCAGCTGTGAGGTGCTAAGCAACTCCTAGAGACCCTGTCTCTAAATAAAATACAAAATAGGGCTGGGGATGTGGCTCAGTGGTCAAGTCCCCTGAGTTCAATCCCTGGTACCAAAAAAAAAAAAAAAAAAGAAAAGAAAAAGAAAAACAAGTTAGCCATAGGAAGTAAAGCTCTGAAATTTTAGTATAGAGAATCTGACAGAATCATGATAAATCAAATGCATGTTTATAGTACAAGAAATAAGATATTATGGGCAACTGGAATTGGATGAGAAAGATGGAGAGTTTGTGGGCAAAAAAATTAGTTCTCATGAAGGATAAGGAGAGTAGCAGAACCTTGACTTCCCATAATTTCTGGTATTTAACTCCAGTCCACACACACCCTCTCATCGCATACTTCCCACATTATCACATCCATGAGATAGCAATCTACATACCAGCCTAAATATCCTGGTTAGAGAAGCTAGAAATCAGGCATGATAGCCATACCAGATACCATTCATCATAACTAATAGATATATTTTGGATTCATACAAATCCTTCATAAGAGGCAATGGCAGATGACTCAGTCTCTAAGTATCTTCCTAGGAGATCTTTAAGGTTTAAAAAAAAAAATAGTGGGAACTATGGAAGTCCAATATCTAAAAGTTTGCTAGAGGGAGTCTAATTTCAGACAATAATTATAAACTACCAATTCTTTTTAACAATATAATCACCCCATAGAAAATTTGAAGAGTAGGATCTTCTCATCTAAAGAACATTTCCTTTGTAATCATGTTTTGGCTTCTGAGAAACAGAACCTATTTTTTAGACAATATATGTCTGAGAGGAACCTTTAGAGAATCATAACTCAAGTAACTCATAACAAGACTGCTCCTAAAATAAGCAAAAGTAAAATTAGAGATGTATCTACAAAGTGTGGAGCAGCTTCTGAGAGACTGAACTCGAGTAGTTTGTACTTTGTACTAAATATTTACCTATTCTTTCTGTGACTAATGATGAGGAAGATGTCTCGAGGATTGTGGTTTATTAAATCAGTACTTATACAGAAGTATGTGGTTACACCCATGAGTCACTATAGACTCTTTCATTTGACTTTGATTCATGAAGTAAAATGTCCTCCTCTACATCTCAGATCAGGGGATTGTTGTATTTACTTAGCTTCCAAATGTAGTTTGAAATGGCTTCTTCTACATAGTTAAAAATCCACAAAGGCATTCTTTCTTAAAAAATATAATACACTGGAAAACAAGATAACGAAATAAGGGTATGTATTATTTGTCTTTTGAATTTGTCATTTGATTAACCAGTTCTATACTAAGTCCTTTAGATATTTGTTTTAGATAACTAACAAATCACTTACACCCTTGGAGAGACATTCCTAAGTCTCTTGTTTTTCAAGGTGCTTTCTGCCCAGCTTGGGGCACTACATGATATTATGAGTTTGTCCACATATTCACGTACCAAATGATGAAAAGAGGACCCCTCCCACATTGCTGGTGAGCAGATCCTGACTCTGTTTCCACCATTCATATATATACATCCAGAATTAGTGGAGTCAGGACAAAGATGGATAGAGAACAAAACAATGTAGTAAGGTCAAACAGCTGAAGATTTCTCTCTCTTAAACCTTTGGGAAGTGGTTCCTTGGGTAGTGAATGTCAAAGGAAGGCATTATGGGTATGTCATCTCCACACTGGAGCAGATGCAGGTTTGATTTAGAGACAAGAATGACTGGTGTTTGATGCTTCACTCCCTACAAAGGTGGAGTGCAGATCAAAAAGAATTTTGTTCTCAAACCTTTTCTCCAATCTTTTCCCATTCTTTCAGAGTCATGTATATTCTCCTGTTATATTCTTTTGTTCTGATGTAGAATAGAAATTCTTAAAATTATAGAATTATGAGAGAAATACTCATTAATTCATACCTCTGATGTCATAATTACAGAAATATGGACATGTTGAATTAATTTATTCACTTAAAATCTCTGGAAGGTCACCTTTGACCTGTGACCTCTAGTTTGTGAGAAATAGTTATATGTTATACAGAGAGATATTTTTGACATTCGATTTGTTAATAATTTCTTGGATAAAATATCAAAACACAGGCAACAAAGCAAAAATAGACAAATGGGAGTATGACAACTTAAAACCTTCTGTGCAGCAAAGGAAATGATTAATAGACTGAAAAGGTAACCTGTAGAATTGAAGGAAATATTTGCAAGCAATACATATGATAAGGAGTTATATCTAGACCGTATAAAGAGCAAGTACAACTCAACAACAGCAAAGAACAACCCATTAGACTCATCACTATCAAAAGTAAATAAATAAATAACAAGTGTTGACCAGGATATGGAGAAATTGAAACCCTGAGCACTACTGATAGCAATGTAAAGTGATGGAGCCCCAAAGAAAAACAGTATGAAAGTTCCTCAAAAGATTAAAAACACAATTATCGTATGATCCTGTAATCCCACTTCTAGATGTATATAAAAAAATAGAAAAACAGGATCTTGAAG